AAAGACCAGATACACGAGAGTTTAATGACTTGGGCTTTTCTCAACACTGACAGGTGAAAATTGTGTGTAATCCTCTCACATTAAGATTAATGATCACTTTCAAGGATTGATAAGAATTAAATGTCAGTTATTTATGTGTTGGGGGAGAAATGTGCAACCGTGGGTACAGGAAAGGCTGTACAAGTAATAACTTGTTCTATAGATGTTATCGTTTCAGTGATTGAATAGGGACAGTGATGAAAAAAGAATGACAAAAGATCAAGGAATCACGAAATGAACCTGCCTGACGTGTCAAGTGTAATTACCAGATAAAAATTCTTCCAATCATCCATATATGAGGGTTAGACATCCAGGTTGAACATTATGTAATACAAAATAAATCAAGCAACTGCATGAACTCTCCGAAGAGTCAGAATGTGAATTATCCCATTCACTTCAGTATGAAATGCATGTAACGTTACACTGACATGATGTAATTTAGGGTTTCCAGTCAAAAATCTAATTCTTTAATGAAAAGTATGAATTCGTTTAGAATTTTTAACTCTAAATCCCACTGATTAGAAATAAAAAAAAACAGTTTGTTGCTGTGGATTTTATGAATTCAACACAACAAATTTACAGAAACTTATTTATTTGTTTACCAAAGGAAAACAGTGTTTTTGCTGTTTCCTCTTCTTCTTCCTCTCCAAACCAATAAGGTCAATGACCAGAGCCAGAGTCTGTCACCATGGTAACTAGTGTTGGGTTACATCATGTTGCAATTTCATAGTAGGGGGGATTTAGACTGCTGTCTGACCATAAATATGTTTGAGTAAGAATTAACAGAGCAGACCATATCTATGAAAAACATTATGCAATTGCTTTTGAAATGTTACCTTTCTAGTATTATTCATAAGTTCTCAACTGTGCTGGGAGCAACTTGGGGCAGAGCACACAGCGGATTGGTTAATCCATTATTTTGTAACAAAATCCATATCAAGTAATGAGTTAATCAATTGATTGCCCGAGGCTTCCCAGCTATGACCTACATACTAACAATTAACACTTAATGGGGATCAGTACTAACAAAGGCATCAATGCTTGGCTTCAAGAAGAATCAATTATTTCCCATAATTAAAAGGATGCCCTGGCAACCTCATTATGAAGCAATCAATACATATAAAAGAATATTCCACAAAATGCTTTGTTCATGAAAAATATGATAGAGCACAATGTAAGGCCTAGGAAAATAAATGTTGTGTTTCCTGTTTCCCGACCGACCCTAAAAAAAACCGCCGACCCTAGCCTTATTTTTGTGTGGACCCCTCCATATTGCTGAACCAAAACATTTTGCACGACGCTACCGAGAGAATCGCTGTCATTGGTGGAACATCGGGCGCCCCGCTAGCGTTTTGAAGTCGCGTAAACAACGCTAATAATTTGTCTGATTTGTTTGTAAAACAAAGCCATCGACTCCGAAAATAAGTTTAAAAGCCGATACATTTACGAACTAATCCCCTACCGTACTGCACCATCAGCATGCGGCGGCCGCAAAAATTCTGAAAATTCAGTCAGACGGCAACGCGAAAGAAAAATGTCTGGTCCATGATAGCAGTATTTCTCATAAAAATAATTTATATGATTTATTTTTCCCCCTTTGTCGGTCTTTTAGTCCCAAAACGTCTAAAAAAGCGGAAATTTGCCCATAAAACCGGACGAGGAAAGGTAGCTATCGACGTAAACAAATTATAAGCACATGGCGAAAATCAGCAAAATCGGCAACGGGACAGAAAAATGCCTGGTCCATTTATCGATATTTACCATGAAAATGTCGTCTGTGGTGTATTTTTCCTCTGATGTGAGTTTTTAGGTCGCAAAACCTCTAAAAAAGCAGAAATTTGCCCACGAAAACGGACTGGCAAGGCATGGGGGAGGGCGCTGTTGACGCCTGCATGACCCCCAAAGGTTGAAGGTCATAGGGCACGTCCATTGCGCAATAACCTTAAATCGCCGATTTAGCTAATTTTTTGGGGTTTCAAATTGATACAATCACACTATCGATTTTTAGGCAAACAAAGGGATAGAAACCAATTAAAATTTTGTGCAGATTAATTTTTTTTTTTTTAGAATTCTTTTTTGTTTCTTTTTTTTCTCCCAAATCCCTGGGAGAACCCTGAAAACCTGTAGACTTGAATCAGGACCTGCTGAATCTGAATTTAGCCCTGCAAGGGCTAGGGACATCTGTTAAGTTCTTCGAGCTGATCGACCATTTTTCATCATGTTCTGCTTATATAAACACAGCAATCAGCAAAGTCTAAAAAAAATAAAAATAAAATAAAATAAGATAATCCCTACCTACCGACCCTAATTTTTTCTGTACTGAAACAGGAAACACAACATTTTTTTTCCTTGGCCTAATTGACGCAGATGAGAATGTTGTTGAGGGAGCAGATATTGGGGAAAAATCACTTGGGAAATTGTCTCTCGAAAAGATGAGAATCTTTTAACTCTCAATCATCAGAGGAACCAGATCACTATTAATCTGGTAAACACAGCTTCAGCAGAGTTCACCAGCTCACACTCAGCCAGATAAGCAGCTCCCCCACTCATTCTTACAGGGTACTGCAAGGAATATAGCTTCAAAGCTTAGAAGATCTGCACTGGACTTTCTTTATTGGTAAGAAAAAAATCATGTGATGTGCTTTTCTCCACTTTGAACCATGAGTATTGTAACATGAAATAAAACACTACAGTGCGGGTATTGTCAAACTGCACCATTGCCAATTTTATTGTCTTGTACATGTAACGGTCCTTTACATACAGTGTACATGTATCAATAGGGCTGAAACCACAGCAATGTATCTTACAGTTTGCAACAAGTAGATAAGTTTTACCAGTCACGAGAACAGAAGTAGTATCTGGGGATATGGGGTTTTACGTCCAGTCCTTGGTAAAGGCTTCTGATTGGAGTAAAGCATCCAATTGGGTGCTTTGTTCTGTAACATCCTCTTTCCTTTCAGGACTACTACTGGTAGTAGTATTTTCAAACATGTTGCCCCTCTGAAAAATGTACACAAATAAGGAGATCCAACTACATGTAACAGCTAGCACTGGCAACAGGAAATACATAAAATAGTAAATACACTGAAAGTACTGTATTGCTGTATATGACAACTTGCACAGAGTTGCTGACAGGGTTACATTATCAGCAATTTGGAATGGAAAGTAAATGGTAGGGGCTTTGTTTTAGCAGAGCACATTTTTCCACACCTACTGCCTAATGTGTATCTGTGATGTTATTTCTCATGGAATGAATTTTAGTGATATTCATATCAAAATGACCAATAAACCCCTTACCAAAGTAATACCCCTCCAAGGGAGCTCAAAGCATATATTATGATTCATTAGCGAAAGTCACAACCATCACTTATAATTTATTACATGTATGTTTTCAGAAATGATGAGTAAAACAACAAACAAGTTCTAAGAAATGTGCACATCTGACGTCAGCATGATATTTGCTACTGTAACATTTTTTTTTTAAAATGGAAATACTAAGAGGTACATGTACATCAGATACTTTGTTGAGAACATGGACCCCCAAAAAATGTAGTCTTTCCTGTTACCATCAGAGTCTCAAAGGCAAAGTTCCTATAACAACTATGCAATTCACTAATGGGGAAAATTCACTGTAATTTACTTGTTCAGGAACATGATACTATAATACTTCATTTAAATTTTGCACAGCTCCATATAGATGTATCTGTGTTGAATTGATCAAATTATTCAACACAATCACCACCAATACAACAAGCAATCATATGCCTGTTGTTATCTTAAAGAATATTATCCCTACATGACTTTATTGTGAATGATAGCCCAATGGTCTTTTTGTTTACCCAAGCTGTGGCAAACATATTACTCATAGTTAAAACATAGCAGGCTTGTATTGCTGTACATTTCATATAATTATAAACAGCAGCATTTTGTCAGTAATACATGACTGTATGTCTTGTGTTTTCATACCTTGCATTCCAAGAACCCACTAGTGACTGGTTGGGAAGAACTTAACAACAAAATGTATTTATCACGAATTTAAGTTATTGCCAATGCACACCTCTGTATGCAGGTGTACTACGTATGGTTGTGCAATGAGTCATGATCACATTAAATAATGCTTGATGCCAACTTTACCACAAGTTGACAAGAAACGAAATACATTGCCTTTGATGATGTATATTACACAATTCAATTACAAACTTCAAGTAATATATGATATATTTTGTAACTGTTGCAAAGTATTGCAGATAGAACATCCAGCAAAAAAGCCAGAATCATTTTGCTGAGTGACACAAAACAAAAAACTGCATACTGGCAGCTAGACAAAGTAACAGAGAATGACTATTGAAGCAAATCTCTAATAGTAAGACATGAACCTGTCAGTACTTGGCAACACACAACTACATGTACAATGTATAATCATCTAAAACACAGAAAACATAGCTAAATGTAATATGTTCCCAGATAAATTAACCATCTTACAGGTAATAACCAACTACTTTCAAATAAAGACAAATTCATTGCAGCATACATGTACCTTTACCACAGATAGATAAACAATATTTAGCAAAGTCATGTTGTCATTTATCATTCTTATATTCTTGGAGCAATATTTAGCAGAATATTTGGAGAATATTTACCAGAGAGCAATGCACCATATATACAACAAGATCATCCCTGGTATTTTCCTATTCTTTGCAGTATACCCCTGTAGAAAAGCCTTGTCCAAAATAAATTATGCAGTATATGAATAGGTAAAGATGTGCAAACATTTTGAATGTTTTGCTTTTTATCTGCAACTCCCACTTTGCCTACATGTATATGAACCAAGTTACCATATCCAGAACTTACGTCTAAAATAAACATTAACATTAAGTTTGCTGACTTGGCCAGCTCAACTGCTACTGCACTGGAGTTCTTTTTACAACATTAACACTACTTGTAAACCTCTATCCCTTTTCAAAACAGTTAAAAGTAGTGAGATTATAATAAAACAATACAAGCTGATATAGTCAAAAACATATCACGCTACGTCCCTACACGTCTCTTAAGTTACGACTACTACTAGTAAAGCCAGCTCCTTCCACAAAGTTAAAAAAAAAGTAATTTCCTGTGGTGAAAGAGCAGGAAACTAGAAAGGCCGACATTTGCTTGGGAGCAAATACAGCATATTTCAGTCCATCTCCCTCCCACGCAAAAGTGGACTATTCCAAACTTACCCCAGTGCAAAACTGGCAAAGGTTCTCAAATAAATGAATTAAATAGTAGCTATATGAGAACAAATATGCAACAACAAGTACTTTGAATCTCGAAAGCTTTACTAATCTTATTACAGGTATGCAAATACTAACAATGATGAGATTTGATACATTTTGAAGGTCTTAGGCACATAAAATTGAATGTGTGGGTCATTACGCACCACTTAGGTGCAATGTGACCTCAGGTAACCCGCAATGGATCACGTGTTCCATGGATGGAACCGGCCATTCTTTAGATAGAACATGGAACGGGTATAGCACTTTTGGCCCTTTTTTGCTGAAAATAGCCATTAAAGTCCCCCAAATGAGTCATTTGGAAGTGGTGTATGCCAAATATGTGACTGATATTCTGTAGACACATGTTCAAGGTACCCTTATACCGAATTTCAGATCATTTGGTTGTAAAACCACGGCTCAGGATCCAAAAATCCATTTTTTGCCGAAAAATGCCCCAAAAAACCTTCATAAAAATTTTTCAAAGGCATGTATCAAAAAAATGAAAAAAACGCCTGGGGGTATTGGCCCACTCTACCTCCATGCCAAATTTCAGGTCATTTGGCTGAATGATGGCGGAGTTGAATCCCTTTGACTGTTTGGCAGGAGGAGGAGAAGAAGAAACATGAGAGAACACAATATATTTCATCCATACCATGGTATGGACTGAAATATAATTACAATCATTTTGAAGTGAACTGCAAGATAAAGACAACAAAGATCCTCTTACATCAGCATCAGGGCTTTCAACTGCATCTAATGGCCTCCATTCAGTGGCTGTATCTGGCTAAATAAAGACCATGAAATGTAGTTGACAGCTCTGGTGTGTGCATTCGGACCTTTGGGCCTTCACTGTCTCATTGGCAGGCAAAACATAGCCTCACTGTGGTGATCAAATTTTAATATTCATAGTCTTTATCAAGGACCATCGTGCACGTACTTCACGACTGATATATTCAATACATCTCCAAGAACAGACAGCACTAGTCGACGTCTGCCAGGAAGGGGGTGACTTGGAACATGAAGCAGCGGTTGCAGACGCGGACTGGTTTCATCATGCCATAGCGTGGGATGGGCACGGAGTTGGCAGAGCAGCGGGAACAGAAGATCTGCAAAGAGACGACACAATGACGTTACTTACCACCTTTGTGCCAGCATCTTCAATCTCAAGGCTACAATTTGCATTGGTCAGTTTCTCCCAGGACAAAAATTGCCTAGAAAAAAAGGTGTAGTTTGGAAGAGCAAAATACAATACAGCAAAAACAGCACCTTTGGCAAAATTGCATCCTTCATGAAATTACCAGGCAGCTTTAAGTACTAAAGGATGGACTAAGAGTAGCCTGACTACATCATGCTTACAGCAGGCTGGGAGGAGGCATAATCAGCATCTGACAGCGAGAGACTGTGTAACACAGGCCACACCAAGAGGAATTGTGGGCAAGGGCACCAGATGCATATTGATCGGGAAACTTTTCTCTGCAAGTAGCAATCAGCATACGTGTACATGTATGTTGCATAACCTCCCTCTATGTGACCATAGCACTTCTTATGCACCACAGGCTATTACAAAACATGTACTACCTGTAGTTATTACATGTGCTATTACAAATAAAGACAAATAGCTGTAACCATTATACCAGGGAGAAAACAGCATGCTACAAGGGCAAAAATAAGTGAAATTACGCCAAACATGCTACTTTGTGGGGTATTGGCTTGCTATTGCTGACAATTGTCCTACAGCGCATTCAAATCAATGTACATGTAAGCTTTAATGAAAAATATAAACAGAAATTACATAGGTGTTATTAAGGCAAAAATGAATGATTTTTCACAACAGTGGCAGCTGTCAGACCTAGGTACAGAATCAATAAGAAAACTGGCCATGCCTTCCTGATAACAACAGGAAGATAAGTCGGACATTTATCAAACTATAAATAGTGTGATATATCTCCTTTTTATTGTTTCCTTTGCAGGGCATGACCATCACAGATGAATGAAGTATGGCTACTGCTGAATATCTTATCCTAACCATAGTTTATATTGGAAAATTAGACATTTATGTGTATCATTTATCAGATGAACATTTTTGATGATTGAAAAATGGTACAGGGGCAAGACAATATTTCTGGGGTTCCATTGTCTTTCTTTTAGAATTGCACGCAATTCAGCATGAAACATCTCTGTCTACACATAAACAGCCTTTGACACCTATATGTTCTTTGCTATATTAACTTCCCTGTCTTGTCTGTTAAAGCAATATGGCTCGTTGATAATAAAGGTCATATGGTAGATGGTTCTCCATAAAATGTAGTCAGGCCTCCGTTAAATCCTCAATTGCTATGCATGGCAAATAAAGCATAACCCAATTCCCTACTATTGCAAATATTGATTTTTTTCTTGACTTTCATCAGACGTATTGCAAAAGAGTGACAGCATCATCATAATTTTATCCAAAAATGATAAAGCCAAACTGAATACATTACATGTAACACAGTCAACCAAACAATACTAACACTCTAAAATGCCTGAAATGGAAATAAGGCAAAGACAAAATATTCAGTATGCAATATATTAACCCTTCAATCCTACTTAGTTTCTAGATACCACTATCGCAATTACAGACAACCCCACGAAAAGGAAATAAAAGAACATCTTATCCTACCAAGAATATCTCTTTGCTGATCTAACTTCTTGCATGAGTATACCATTCCTATCAGAGACTTAGACCAGGTATTGGCATTTATCACTTAAGGAATTAGGATAAATAGGATTAACCCCAAACCTTCTCTCTTCAAAAGATAGACTTGGTCTGCCTTTAAACATAGACTGAGTTTGACCTAGAGAACAAAGAATTGCATTCTGAATTGAATGTGAAAAGATCAGGAGGTCTGCACCAAGTCCCGAATGGCTGGTTCAACAATGATTGAGAGGCGGGGAGGGGGGTGGGTGTTGTGACATGTGGCTAATGATGGCGCTCTCTCAGCTTATATTATTGATTCCTTTAAAGTTGGAGCAAGCCATGGGGAGCTGGTAGTGCTGATGTGAGGCTGTTTGTCATAATCAGAGAGATGATTTCTCATGTGGCTTCATAAAAGCAGTCATTATGGCTGCAATCAAAGACCTTTGATCTTCAGAGACACAAGTCAAGAGACATTTGTACAGAGGAATATATGGCCTTATTCATCTGACAATCTTACACATTTTTGAGTATCAAAGCAAGCTTTATGACAATTATTAGTAAACAGAGCAAAGTTTCTACCAATAGTTAGAAATGGGTTAGAGTTAGGTCAAGACAGATTGTGAGAAGAGTACTACTGGACCAGGTATAGAAATGCTTTTTGTATACCTACCACAGCTTCTGCAGTCACTGTGGTGTTAACTGACCTTGCACTACAATGTCATGTAGTTCTTAGAGTGGTAAATAAATGTGTACTGACCTTGCCACAGTTCCTACAGTGGTGTTTTCTGCGGATCACAGTGAAGGGAGCTCCACAGGCCATACAGCCAGACACGGCCTGGTCAGGCAGCCAGGCAGGGGGTTCTGCAGGGGGTAAAGAGGTACAGTACATGTACATCACACATTTAACTGGGTCTGACTCAGTGCTATAATAATCATTTTGGCAACTTCTATATGATAAAGAAAATAAAGGACTTAATAGAAAATTCATGTTCAAGAATTGTCAGAGCTGAAGATTTCTACTATTTGTCAAAGTTGTATAGATCTATTATTTTGATTAATGTTAAATCTGACATTGTATACCAGTAACAATATTATCAGATGTTTTCCCTCTCCCAGTTCATTTTAAAAAGTAAAGGGAAGGGCACACTTTGTTTGTGTGACCTAAATACACTCAGGTCTGGTGATTCCCCACCATTTAACAATCTCTAACATTTTTTTTTGCATTTCTAACATTATCAATTGCAAGATAGAGCAAGCAACACCTGTCTAACTGTCCAATCTTGGTTATGCTTTTTACCCTCAGGCTGGTTCCCCTCTAGTTGGAGGTGCCATTGATGCAAAGTTTTGTACTGTACTGTGTGCCTCATAACCTACCCAATGAAAGACTAGTTATACAGCTAAGCTGGCACCCTACCAAATCATCGAATATAAAGCTTCAGACTACACATTAAGTTTTGTACTGTTCGTCAATCTTTTAGAAATTTATTTGCAAGTTGTTTTGAAACTTTAAGACCTTTTCTTTGACACAGCTGTTCTCTACAGACTTTGACTAAATCCCAATGGTTTGTACTTGTACAATAAATTTGAACTTTACAAAATAATCAATGGTGCCAACTTGATGCTGAATATTATTAGAAACTTGTGTTCAAGAATCAATAACATATTTCCGTTGGTGTAAAGAAAAAGTTAAACCTACTACAGTAGGGAGCCATCTATTTCACTTCAATTAAACATAAATTTTGTTTTTGTGCAGGGAGCGACATTCTTGCTTTCAAGTATCATAGGTGGACATTAATGTCCAGAAGACTTAGTATGGGATTGGCTAACAACCATGCATTACCAACTGAGGGCACAAATGAGGAAATAGAAACATAAATGTGTACAAAAGAGACAGAATCTGATGGTATGATTGTATAGTTTGTCTAAAAGACCATTTTTGCCAGACTCTCCAACCTTTCCATTTTTACACAGGTCTCACCTTCCACAGCACCTCTCTCTCTTCTTCTTAAGCTGAATACATTTGTGTCCATATCTGTGCGTGGAGGAGGAGGAGGGGGCACCATGAAGTCCAGTCCAGTAGAAAACAGGGGCATGTCTATCCTGTCAGGCCGGCGTGGCAGTGCAGGTGGATCGCTGGTGGATGAGGCTGGGTCATCATGATCAGGTGGTGTCAGGGTGGCATCAGAGACATCACCGGTGTGGACAGTTTCTTTGGCATCCTGGGGCAGTGGGGGAAGTTCTCGGGTGATTCCGTACACCGTGTACTCTGTGAAGTCACGTTCTTGTGTGTCGTGATCTTCACTGGGGGAAACAGTTTCCTCACCTGTGTCCTGTGTGGTGTCGATTACGTCTTGTGTGGGTGTGGACGTGTCAGAAATATCACACGGTATACTTGGCAGTGTGGCTGGATTAAAGGGGATGTCCTGGGCTTCGCTCGGCCCCCATGTCTCCATCTCATGTTCTGACCAATCGGCTTGATTTCGAGCAAGCAGTGCGGCTATCCCATTGCCAGAGGGTGTGGTGGCCTCACCCCCCTCCCACCCTCGTCTCATGTCCATGGAACTCTCTCGTAGTGACCAAGCTGCAGTGTCACCAGTGTTTTCCCCTGTGTACTCCGAGGGAGGCACTGGTTCGGCCACGGCATTGCTGGGTAGGGGAGGCAGGGGCCGGTTGGACTGCAAATTTCCTACACCTCCAAGTATCACAAACTCTTCATCATCATAGTCTTCAAGTTCATCAATGGCTTCCTCTCCAAGGGCATCCACTGCTGTCTCTATCTCAATATCTAATTATAGGAAAAGGACAAAAGTGTGAATGAAAATCAGTCTTTTGGTCATGGTATACTGTAAGTGTCAGTGATCTTGGTAATAGTATTGTTGAGCCATTTCAAGGATTTTGCAACTCCTTATTTCTCTCTTACTTGATTTCATTGACTTCTGATATTCACATTTACTGGCACGTTTTACTGTCAACACACTAAAACTGTGCATTTCAATGCACTCAACCTGCAACAAGTGAGAAAGAGCATTCAATTTGTCAGTTTATGTTGTATTATCAATGGCCTTGGCTGTAAGGGCTTTTCCATAAAGATGACAGAATTTAGCATATAGAAACACGGCTCGGGGGAGGGATAACTGTATTTGCATTGATTTTCAACCACATCAATGATGGTCTCTATTTTCAGATTGCTGCCTCAGGACCTAATTTGTCTTTTTAATCCAGCAAGATGACCTTATGTTTCATACCCGTGCCTGATGGACTAGAACCCATGACTTCAGGCACATTACCTTCATCATCATCAACAGCTGCTGGGGAGGATTGGTCCTGTGTTCCCTCAATAATGCCGTTCTCCTGAGCTTCTGCTGAGGGACTGTGAATTGGACTGGTGTCTTCCACCACCTCCTCCAGCATGGTACAGTGCATCAGAAACACTGCCTTTAGAATGTGCCTCAGATCACTTGCGTAGTTGGTTTGTAGTTGGTCTGCAACACCTGAAAAAGGTGAACACATTTGTCTTTAATCTAACAAATATCACTGCTTCCTGGTACAGATTGGGAGTATTGTTTTGGGTGTCTGAGCCGTGGGTTTGGGTTTGTTCATCCAGACAGAGTAGGTTGACAGCATGTGGGTGGGGGAAGATAGACAGGCATAACAACATGCAGGGGGTCAAAGGGTCACAGGAAATGTGGAGAATGGGAAGGTCACATTTGTGCTTGCAAGGGGTTTGCCAACTGTCAAATTTTAAATGTATACTGGGTAATACACGTATGTTCGATTTACTATAATTGGAAGTTTCTCTCTTACAAGTTTCATGATTGAAACTAGACCCTGCAATATTTTTGCACATTTTGTCCTTCATACAACTCTTAACATTTATAGCTGTGTATAAAACAAACGGCTACAATGGTCATCAATGACCCTTACAAGCACGACACAAAATTGGATATTGAACTATCATATATTATCCCAACTTATAATCATTAATGTGTAAGCAAAGCCACTGAAGTCCAAAGTTAGAACTTTGAAGTTGTGAAAATGATTTATCATGTATATCTGATCTTTCACCTTGATACTAACAATTTAAGCCTTGGCTTAGGATATGCAATATTAAGATCAATATCTGCACAGTTGTATTCAGATTTGACGATCCCCCTAAGAAAAACTGAATGGGTTTCCAATATCAGAGAGAGAAAAGCATCCCCTAACATTAAATAATTCATCTCCGGCTCAATACTAATAAATCTAGAAACAAAAGGTCCCATCACTGCTGACTGCAGAGTCTTGATAGCAAAATCATCACATTTTCTAGAGCGCAACATGTACCAAGTTGTTTTTGTATGTTGTGAAAACAAGCCATATTTCTGTATGTGTGTAACTTATACCAATGAAAATTAATTTATAGAAAACCCTGAGAAGACCAGGATGCATAAACTTTTACACTCGTGGAATTCTTCCCTCCAGGAAAAAAAGTGGGAAAATTACCTACTACAGTGCTTTTTCTAACACCTGTGCAACAGAGCTTTGTATGCACCACAATCTAATGGCAATGTAATAAATGGGTTCTTCTTTGATAGCTCTTGGCATTATGAGGCAGTACTTTAAAGTTTGTAAACTATCATTAAGGTTCCTCCATTATGGCATGCTATGTAATTGCGTTCTTTTAAATTGCATATTACAAGACTGTACATTATATAACTTCTCTCTATCATAGCATATTGGAACCTAAGAACATATGCTGGCAAGGTTGAGGTACATGTACATGTACAGTCTGCGTATGTGCCTCTTGATCTCTGAGTGCTATCACTGTCTGGCTATCTAGTTCAAAATGAGATAGACTTTAGTAGCCTTTCAAATGATAGGTACACTATCAGTATCAGGATAGCTGGCCGGCAGCGCACACATCACAGTAGTAAAGATACTGGAGAACCCATAGGAATGAAGGTTTGCCAGTGGGAAGTTAATAGAAAATAATTATGCAGTCCACTGATTAGTGACTTCCACCCTCTGTAGTCATTGATAGAGCATACTGCACTAGTCAGCAGTCATGATGTGCTTCTTAACTGCTGAGTACATTGGGAAAAACTGACCAACTGCAGTTCTGATCTACCTGATAAACTGAAACTGCCTGAAATGAACACGCGGTAAATGAATGAAATGCTTCAAGAGTTGAGGCTTAATTTCAGATAAGATCATTTCCACGGTAGACTCTCTACTGGCAATGATGATTATACTGCTTGGCACTGGTTATCTGGATTGGTTACTTTGAAGCCTGATGCCATTTCAAGTTAAATCCTTGGTCCCAATCTTTTCACGACTTAATTACAACTAAATTTGAGATAAGTGGACAAAAACAGAAAGGTGAGCAAGCTTTCTGATCTTCCAAGAAACTGTAGACTCATGTTAATGTTGATTGCTACATGTAGGGTACAAAAACTGTCTTTAATGAGTAATCATAATGCAAAGAATCTGAAACTATCACGATGAGAAGGTTAGTCTACTTTGTGTACCAAGTCATTACAGATCTGATATCAATTTTATACAAAAGTTTTGCATAATGTTTGTCTTATTCTGTTTGAAATCAAGCGTCATCATGGTTATAATTTGAATGAAGAAGTCGTGATTTACCAGATATACAGACAAACAGGCGATGGATGAGGTCACTGCTGCTCTTGAACCTAGCCCTGAGCTCTTGTCGAGCTGCCAGCTCCGCCGCCTGTACAGCCAACGCTATCTCGTGCTCATCGTGCATCTCTGAGGTGTAGGAGCTGGTCTCACTGCTGCAGCCACTATAAAGGCAGAGGGATAGAGGTACTAGGTAAGGACTGGTAGAAACAAACCCTAGTCACTTTGATTAAGACAAATGTGACACTTGATGTGTAGGTATGCTTGATGTAAGATTTGGAAGGATGCAGTACAGTAACTGGAAATTGTGAAACTTTCAAGATGATGTTATTTTGCAGTAGGAGGAGAGGCTTTCATGCTGTTTTACAATCACAGTTGGAACAACTCTGTACCACAGTAGTCATACAAGGGAGGGATATTTGCAGTAGTGTGAATTTGTGATGGAGGGGTCCCCATGAAAAATGCAAAAATGAAACCATGGCAAAAGGTTCATGATTTACAATACTTTCTCATCAGTATTAGTCTCCATCAGTCTACTGAACTTTAGCTGACACTACTGAAGAAGCAGAGGGATTGTCAGTTTCTATATGTATAACCCAATGGCCTGACAGGAGATGATGGTGATGATTCTGTGACTCTTACCTTTCCTCCTCCCACTGCTGTGAGCTGAAGGAGTCCATACTGCTGGTCACACTGCCCAGAGAACTACTATAGGATCCGTTCCCGCTGCCGGAGTCCATGTACTTCAGCCTCTGGATCCTCCCAGGGCTGGGCTTGGGGCTTTGTCGTGGGCTCTCAACATCATCAAACCTACAAAAGACCACAAATACAACCAAGTTTACATTTGAACACTTGATCCTGTGACAGTTCATGACCAAAATATGAACTGTCATTTTTAGTTGCTGTTCTGGATTAGTACATCTGGGTTTGAATGTTTTACCACTGGACAAATTAAAACACACCCAAATCTTGGACCTAGAACACCAGATGATCATGAAAGCTAAGTGGTGAATTTAGGGGTCCACATCACCGATTAACCCTTTGTTTTACCATAATTGTACCAGATCGTGTCCCAGCTGCAAAAACAAATGTTGGGCTGTTTCACTGCTGAAACATCAATGCACCACTCAAAAACTGTGCTTTACTGATGTTCAAATGTTGTGGACAATGAATGAAAAAACAACCTTGTCCATATCCTTCTAGTAACCCGAATCAAAATAAAAAATGTATGTAACAGCAACAAGGGGCAGGAAGAAGTAAGAAGGATTGAACTAGGGTATGGCTAACCAGAGAGACAACAGTTTTGGGCTGTATCTGGAACTTTCCACATCCTCAAATCTGTAATGGAGACAGAAAGGACAATGTGTGAAGCGTCATCAAATTAAACTTGTAATGTGAACAACCAGTCTTTGGGAACTTATCAATCAAACCTACCCTTGTGAGATTTTCTAAATATGACCAATGTGCTGATGCCAAATTATGGATATAAAGTAAGAGTCAATGTCAAGTAATACTGCCAATATCAAATGTATGACATTAATTTGTATTTCAAAGATGCTCTTTTCTAATGAACAGTTGGTTGTATGACCACAATTGCACAAGATGTCACTGACTATAAAAGACTGGCAGTGCCAAACTGAGGTTTATGTCCAAAAAGATAAAAAAACATACATCATTTGATTTGTGTACTAAGAAATTAAAATAATGCTATACATTCAAATGTTTTCTGTATCACTTCTGGACTACAAAACTTTCTCTTGTGTAGAAACAGGCTTCCCACAAAAAATTTACATGTAGTTCAATTCTTACCTAAAGTTTCTTCTCATTGGGCTGTACTGTGCAGCAGCACTGGCAGGGATTCCCACAGCATCCAGCAGGGGTGACCTACGACCTCGTGCCTCCTCCCCACTGAGATGTCTTTCCTTCAACACCTTGAGCTGACCAACGGCACTTGTGATTGGTTCCACAGAGCAATTTGTTTCTCCCCCAGCTTTCCTGTGCTCACTCAATGACGCAGAAGAGACGTTTATTTCCACGTTCTGACCTTCACCTCTCCGGTAAGCTGACCTTGAGGAATCATCCTCGGAACTGCCTGGCTCAAATGAATCTTCCATATAGAACATTGGCTCGTCTGAACTTTTACTGGTATGTCTGTTCCTCGGAGAACCAACTGACCTGTGACTGCTACTCAGACCCTCAGCCTGACCTTCAGGATTAAAAATCACGGTGCTAGAGGTCTTCATACCGAATATCTCGGAAGTGTCACTGTCACTGGTAGACAGGCAGCTAGTGGTGTCAGAGATGGCAGTGTCAATCATCACACTGTCCTCATCATCATTGTCTAATCCACTGATGTCACTTAAACTGATATCACTATCCCTTCTTGTTTCTTGGTACATTCCACTAACCAAGGAACAATCAACAGGTAGCTCAGGAGGCAAACTTGCTTGGTCTGTAACAGTTGTTTCTCTGTCATGGTTGGTGATTTCTCCTTGACTTCTGGAAGTGCATTCAACTTCTTCTGCTGGCCCTTCTTCATCTGACTTACACTTGCTAGCATGCTCCTCTGCTGTCCTTACCTCCTTCTCTTCTTCACCTCTAGAACCTGGATGTGGTCTCGGTTCAACTTCCAATAGTTCTGACAGCTCCTGGATTTCTTTGTGAAGGCTCTCATCATCCCTGGGCGTATCTCTTTCATGTAGATCAGCAGCATCTTCTATTTCTTCTGGCCTAACAACAGTCATACCAATGTTTATACTTTCATACCCTGTCGTGAGCTCTGAGGAATAGTTGCTTGGGCTGGAGGAGTAAGGCTCCTCAGTTGACACTTCCCTTTGTCTCATCACTTCTTGGCATTGGCAGGGTTTCCCTTCTTCCCCACTGCATTTCTGTAGTGCCTCTTTTTGATCTGATTCAGATTCTGCACCAAGAAAAACCTCTGTATCTTTCTTTGGGCTGCATCCAGATATTGCATCAACATTCTGCTCTTCTTTGGTTTGATTTGAAGCTTTGCTTGCACCAAAGGATATCTCAGTCCACTTGACTGGACTGCTGCCACCAGACTCTATTGCTGCAGCTGCCTGTGGCTCTTCAGGAATGGGTTCAACAGTTGGCTCGCTGGCAATGTGGTAGACATCTATTTCTCTGCCATGTCCATTGGTACCAGCTGCCCGAGTATCTTTCTTTATTGCACAATGTACTGACAGTGAGTGTTGGATGTCCTTTAATATCAAATCCTCGATTACTTCAGGATTGCTCTGTAGCTCGTTTGATTCTGTCCTTGCCAACAACTCTTTCTGATTTTCTGACATGGACCCCGTGCTTGTGACAATCATTTTGGACTCTGCACTCTGGTAAATTTGCATGTCTGCAAACTGCACTCCTGTATTGTCTACAGGAGTGCTGTTCTGTGTACTGCCTGCTCGTGGTGAGCCACCTGTACTGAGAGTTCTCTCTTCATCGTCACTTCCCCTGATGTCAATTGCAACAGATTCCACCACATCTGGCAAATTTGCTCTGAGCCTCTCGATGTCCGGTGGTTTGTCATCTGAAGGCCTTATGTCAGGAGGTTTGTCCTTTGGTGGCTCACCTTCCTCCACCTTACTGTTCATCTGTATTTCCTTTTGGTGCTGCTCCAGCATGGCGTTCATCCCATCTCCCGGGGAGTCTGACATGATGGACACATCTGTCTCCTCTGTTTCATTCCCGGACTGGTCGCTGTTCTCCTCCCTACTGGACAGCCTGACCCTGACCTCCTCCCCGTACATGGGCATGCTGGTTCTGTGGGGCTCGCTGCCACTCTGGTCCAGGTAGTTGGCCATCTCACTGCGGATGTTCTGGAACATGCTGTGTAACTGCTGCAACTCTGCAATATTTACGCAAAAAGGAAAAAAAAACTAGTAAGACTATTGTCTTTAGGGTCTGGTCACAACAGTTGTATGATCGTCACATGGTTGCAAACTAAGAGCATTCTTTAGATAGTTGTGCAAGTGTTGTACAAAATTCAGTTGTCTTGTTACTGAAAAGGTGGTGTTTGATCATTGTTAGTCCTTGGTTCAGCAACAGCCTACTTGAAAATCAATGCACCATCAAACTTGTAGGACAACCTACAATGTTACCATGCACAAACCCCTTCCTATCTCTTTCTCTTATCTTTACTAGGCAGATAAACACAATGAAATTGAATTAGTTTTATCGTGAAGTCTTCTTTGTCATCATTACAAACATTTTCCCATTCCAGTAATTGTTGTAATGGCTGGTGATTAATTCAACATTGATACAAAATTTATTGCCCTTACATGGCTGGCTATTCATCATGCTTGTGTACTTATTAATGTCTGTAACCATGATGATTATTAGTGTCAACAGGATGCCAACATTGGTGCAGTATTGCTGTCATTATCACACAGAGCACAGCAACATTTCATTACTGGGAGTGCCCTGAGGATTACCTGAAATCATTGCTGTCATGATTGTCAGGTGGTGGTGTGTGTGCGTGTGTGTGTGTGTGTGTGTGTTTGTGTGTGTGTGTGTGTGTGTGTGTGTGTTTGTGACATGTGATATGCATGGACATTGATGGGACATTTTGTACCATTGGTACAACATTTTCTGGCATTGGTAAACTCGTTTCTACCTATTGGACACATGTTTCTAGCCAGTGGTACATGACTTTCGATATATTGATTGAATTTGTGTATCCTCTTTCTGTTGTATGTGTACATGTCTATGAGTGTCTGTACATGCTATAGTGTGTTTTCTGACCTGTAGTATGTGTGTCCTGAGCTTCAGGAGAATACAGGTCTGATTCTGTAGGTGGGAATGCCTCTAATTTCAGCTCCTTCCTCTCTGATTGGTCCAGGTCCTGCAGATTGACAGGTTCCACGTCCCTGTACATCCCAGGCTCCTCCGAGCTGCACAGGGCCCTCTCCAGTGCCGACAGCTCCTGGGGACTCAAGGTCTGCAGCAGCTCTCTGTACGTAAGAACAAGAAGTCAGAGATTTCATACCTCCTGGAAATGCTTTTTGGAAATGTGAATGGGACTAAATGATGTACAGTAATTTAATTAGGTATTACACAAATTTCCTTAATTCCTCCACATACAACCCACTTACTACAAATGGTTGTCTAAAACAGTAAAACAGGTCTTAGAATTAGAAATACTATAGTGTTAGAAGACAAATTGATAACAGTTCAGTAGAAGTAAAGTGAATGATTAAAAACACAATAGTTAAGTATAGCGTGTAATCAAGGATATATTGTGTTTATGTGAATTGTTTCCTAGGCTTAAGATGAGAATGGAAAATAACTGCATTCTTTCCTACTCTACTATACTCTCCAAACAGAAGCATCTGAAAACGTGACCCTTTCATGTACAGACTACATTGTACAGAGACATGAATAACACCTGCAGGTCTTCACAGCTCATCAACAAATAACAGGCTTACTAACACCTGCCCTGCAGCAATGCAACATCCACTGGCCATATCCATTCCCAGATGACTTATCCCTTTGTTTATCATTACCCCAGGCTGTAAAACAGGACCCTATAGTATCAGACAACCACCAATTGTGCCAGATACCTTCCGGCCTTTGACTGATCTCACAAATTACACCTCACAGAAGGTGATACATCCAGACACGCATATGGATTTAGCAATGCAGATTCCCTCTGGCTTTTCTTAATACACGTGAGCTTGTCCTACGGGGCTAATGCATATGCTGGTGGCTATGAAAGATTTTTGAATTAGTGATGAAGATGTTGCAGCCATCTACTCCTCTACTTTTTGAATCTTGTTTGCTCTTGGGTTATGTACTGGATAATGTACTGATATACAGTTGGCTAGAGCATATATTTCCCTTGCAGGTTCTATCAAGTTTAGAGGATATGGCTGTTAGGCTTATAAAAACTGTTGAATGTGCCGTTAAGGTGAATGAGAAGACTGTAAACACTGCAAAACAGGAAACCTGTCCCTTAATGACCGCTTTCCTTACAGCATATCAGTGACCCTTCTATAGATGGTTAAAATTCATTTGCCTTACAGACCTGGGTGCTGTTGATTGAATAGAGTTTAGCACAAGACCAGGTCTTGTTCTTATGTGTGGACAGCATTCAGTAACAAGAAAAGCCCTGCTTAGATGTGTGGATGGTGTCCAGCACTAAGGACATTCCTGTTTTTATGTTTGGATAGTGTTCAGCACCATGAACAGGCCTGTCGTTATGTGTGGATGGTGTTCAGCACTAAGGACAGGCCTGTTCTTATGTTTTGGTAGTGTTCAGCACCAAGGACAGGTCTGTTCTTTGTGTGTATAGTGTTCAGCACCAAGGACAGGCCTGTTCCTATATTTGGTTAGTGTTCAGTACCAAGGACAGGTCTATTTGTATGTGTGGATGGTGTTCAGCACCAAGGACAGGTCTGTTCTTATGTTTGGATGGTATTCAGCACCAAGGACAGGTGTTTTCTTTGTGTCTATAGAGTTCAGCACCAAGGACAGGCCTGTTCTTATGTTTGGATGGTGTTCAGCAGCAGGGACAAATCTATTAAAGATCAAGTTTTCAGGTGAATTTATTTCCAAATAATTCAAAGAATGGACCAGTAACTGCAAGAAACCAAAATTGTTTCTCTTATTAGGCCACACCAAGTAAATTTTATGGATGACGTCCTTCGGAGACCCTATATCTAATGCGAGAGGGCGAAAAAAAAACAAGAAGGGCCCTAAAAAACAAGATGCCTAGATTAGAAATATACTAAGGGACGACAAATGTTAGGACACAAATTGAATGAGGTGACACAGATTAACAAGCAAAAAGTCTTTTAGTCATCATCAAAACAGCAATAAATCAGGTGGAACAGCAGTTGTCATCCTGTCCTGTTTCTTTCACATTTTTGCAGGCCTGCAGAAACAAAGCATGTGCTCTTTACCCATTTCGCGTTATGGGTTTCACGTCAATCTAACAATTTGAGGTTCAGTACCAAGGACAGGTCTATTTGTATGTGTGGATGGTGTTCAGCACCAAGGACAGGTCTGTTCTTATGTTTGGATGGTATTCAGCACCAAGGACAGGACCAGTAACTACAAGAAACCAAAATTGTTTCTCTTATTATGATGCTTAACAATTCCATAAATTCTACCATTTCAGTGTATTGCTGTCAAGATTTATTCAAAAGAACAATATATCCATGAGAAACCTTAATGACCCTAGTCATCTGTCTCATGGCCATTTAATGGTGACAGGTCAGGGGTCATATCGTGACCGTAGTGCCACGTAATGACCTGTAATGATTGCTAATAAATGGCAGGGTGTCTGGCAGCAGGGGAGGGTCACATGGGTTAATTGGCCCTGGCTGTTTGTTTTGCAGACTGCTGACTACATGAAGGCTTCCTGAAGTAGTGAAACAGCCTCATGCACCTTGTGATGACTTTAAGGATGGGTAAGAAGGACCCAGTGGACATGAACAAGCATCATACTGTTATGCTGATGACTCTTGGCACTACAGCCATCACAACCTTAACTTCACTTATTCATCTAACGACTGTTTTAAAGGACACAGTTACATTGTTGTGTTAATGAATGACATAGCAAATTTAATATTACATAATTTAGTATAATGGCTGAATTGAATGACATCAGTCTTTTGGTGGACAATAAACAACAAATAACAGATTAAGACATACATTACCAAATGTCAGTGGACTTTCAAATTGGTGAAGAAGAAGAGGTGCACTGAATCTGAATGTTTGATTTTATAACTTATATAAGGAGACTTATGACCTGTCAGTGACAAGAATGATCCCAACGTCATTAAAATCACAACTGGTGCGGTGGCCTAGTGGCAAGGGAACTCTCCCTATCTGGGAGGTCATGGGATCGAGCCCCGGGTCAGGGTGCCAACAGTGCCTCAGCACTCATGTCATCCCTGTGGGTCTTGAAATAATTGGGTAGAAGATGCTAGCATCACTAGGTTACACTAATTTATGCCCATGCCTCTCTTTTCTTAGAAACTACACGTAGCCTTTTCATGTGTTGCTAAGCATCATGCTTCTGGCAGCTGTTCTACTTCTTAGGCACAGGTCAGACAAATTAGGAACATCTCAATCCTGTTGATTTATGCATATATCATACTAATATGGACTGGTAGAGTTTGTTACAATGGTGTTGGAGGCTGTGATGACTAGTTTCCATAGAGATCTATACAGATTCTATCAAATTTTATGTCCTATTGGACACAATTTACATCTATGAATGGCAGACATAAACAAACAAAGCAGAATACAACCTTACCTGATCTTATATAGGAGTGATTGGAATGGTCTGAACATCTCACAGATATCTGTAGGGTCCCTGTCCACATTAAGAGGGCCATCTTCTTGCAGCAGCAGCCCACTAGAAGTAAGTAAAAATAAAATACAGCTATGAATACATCATGTGTAACAGGGAAGGAACAGAGGGGTGATGGGTGGATGGTGTCAGCAACCAAGGACATGCTTGGTCCTATGTGGATAAGCTTCAGCATCAAGAACTGTTCTTGTTTGTGCAGCACCCAGTGTTCAGCACCGAGGACAGGGTTGTTTTCATTTGTGGATAAGCGTCAGAACCAAGGACAGGCCTGTTTCTATGTATAGATTGTTTTCAGAACCAAGGGCAGGCATTATGTGGTGTTCCACAACTAGGACAGGCCCGTTATGTATGCGTGTTCAGTACCAAGGACAGACCTGTTCTATGTCTCAGTTTGTAGAAGAAACACTAATGAATTTACAAATAGTTCCCCTTTTCAAAAGTGAAAAACTATTTTACAGCAGAATGTTACAAACAAAAAGTTTTTCCAATGTCCTATTTGGCAGGATCTAAGGAATAGCTAGTCCACAGCTCATAATGTCTTGTCCTGAGGACCAACCCCCTTTTTCACCCACATACAAGATACATGAAGATTTTTGGGGCAAGGTAGATTTGTGCAGGAACAGTTCTTCAAGCTAGCATTAAATGAGGTCACTGACACAGGTCAAACCTGACCCCTTTCCTGGCACAAATCAGATGACAAGGTAATATCCATCCCATTTCTAGTTCATTGGCGAGCCTTTAGGCCTAATGTAATCCCATTGAACTGATGGGTTTAGGCCTGGTTGCCTCGCTAATGCAGACAGGATCGGAGAATTCATTATTGGGGGCTGGGAAATTCCCAGACTGGGAGTGCAATTATTTTGATGACTGTATTCGACTGGCACCTGACATGTTCTACCGACTGGAAAGGTACAAATGGAATGAACGCAGTTAAATAAAACTGCTCCTTTCACAAAGAACTCTAAAATAGAGATCAGAGGTAACAGGCGTACCAAGTCATTTTGTACATGGCACATTGTATGGTTATTATAGCATTAATCTCACAATAGCACACACATCTAACTGTCCAGAATTTATAAAAGTCTTTACAAGGCTCACTAATACAGATAAAGATGTTTGCCTACATTGCATAATAAATCATGAACCTCACCTAGCACATGTCTAATGAAATCATGGATAGAATTGTTTGCCATCTATAGGTAGAAAACAGGGACACTCTTTTTTTTCTTTCCTGCACTTGACAAGTTTTGAAACACTTTATTTTGACAAATTGACACATTTTATCTTTTGTGTGTCTCTGTGAGCACAGCTAGCCTTTATATACCCCAGTATTATGACATTTTGTTATAAAAAAGCCCCCAACTGTATCCCTTTAACTCCAAATCCTGAAATCCTAGGTGCTTTGTTTTATGTTCAGCATGTTTCAATTTGTATAAATCATGTTCTTTATGACTCATAACTTCAGGCAACTTCTGACAAAGAGTCTTCTCGCTGCTGACTCTAATGTTACATGTACTGTATGCCTGTAAGTCTTCTCTTTGAGACCTTCAAACTGCTAAACACACATCCATCCAAACAGGCACATCACTTCCATAACTAAAGATATACATAAAGTTTATCATATGACAGAGATTTGATCTAAAAACATGGTTGGATTTAGAAGAATGGACTTCTTCCTTTGAGTTTGAAATCCCCAGACTACATAACCGGCAATGCCATGGGCAATGACATTACCGCTTGTAATTGCTCAGAGCTCCGTGGAGATTTAGACCTAATTTGGGAGAAGCAACCCCCAGCACTGAAGCAGTCTGTTGGATGTGTGAGCTGAAAGGCACCCTTGCTGAAGCAGCTGGTGGGCTCAAAATGGTTATATGAGAGATAAGTTAGAATAATCAATGAAATGATTTCAATCATAGTCACAATAAGCAACTGCATTCCAAGTCTCCTTACTACAGTAAGATACATTGTCCAACATGATGGTAGTCAGAGGGGACTGGAATCCTCAAATTTGATTTAACCTGCCAAAACAGGGTTCGAAATGCTGGGTGCATAAAAGGTATGCATTTTTGTGCAGCCAAAATAGGAGCTGTGAAGGGCTATGTACCTAAAGCCAGTAGTAATGGTACAACATTTTTTTTTCTGTGAAACTTACATAGACTGGCACCTATATTCCTCACAGTGAATTTGGAGCCCAGTAAAGGCCCTGTATAGCCTGCATGTTGAGAGCTACTCATTTCCACAGAATCTTAATTTCATTTCTCTGAGACAAGGCTTACTCTCTGTCACCTTCATCATGCCCCCACACACCCTCATGTTGTAAGTAATGTCATACTCAGGGCCTGGGATTTCTACATGATACACCCTATGGCAAATTTGGGCAGTTTCCAAGATAGCAGAGTACACCATACTGTAATAACATCCTAATGCCTGGCTTTAGGGTGACATAATACCCCTCTCCGATTCCTGACCTTCCCAGCCAGGAAAAAGGAACTTAGTTTTTCAATGTCATCCGTGACTTAGTTTTATGTGCTGTAATCAAAAACTCCCAAACTACAATGACCAAGGTCACTGGTTCACCTCCAGGGCAGCAATCTGTAATCTTTTACGGTGGAAGTTGGAATATACAATGTATGTCTACCTACAAGCATGTTCAGTGAGAGACACAATAAGTACATTGTACAAATACCTAGAAAATAATACATGCTTGAAATCATGATCGTGTTACCAAACCAAAAGACAACTTTACCACAAGCAGTTAAAGGTGGATATGGCTATTTGTAATGTCCTAATTAATGCCTTCAAGTGGAAGAGACCAATGATGTACATCTGTGGTGGGTGTGAAGTATATTTCTCAGGTTAAGAAAACAGAGCTGTGGACTGATCATTGGCATTCAAGTCTCATACTGTTTCTTTCAGAGATACAACATGGCCCTTACCCTCACAAACAAGTGTATTGATTCTGCAATTGCCACAGAAATGTGGTAACATTCATTCTTGATACCTTTCACAAAGAAGTGTACATGCTTTAGAGCTGGAAACACTGATTGTGGACCAAATGGTCTCTTGTTACAAAACATTTCCGAGAGAAGACAGCCCCTCTCTTCCCTTTTTATTCATTACAAAGGTAATTTCTATTTATAGCTCATGTTTTCTCTATGATGTAATAGAACCAGAGGAATGAATTGGTGTGGTCCTACATGCCATGTCATTGTGACGACAGTGGATGACAGACAGAGGATTTATTTCTTTATTAGCTTATCAGGTGCTTCTCCTTGTGTGTTAATGGAAGCAATAATCACCAGGCATTACACAGCACACAGGGCTATTAAGTGTCTCATTTCTCAAGTGCACTGTAATGGGTAGACATCGGGATGTTAGTCCCAATTATCCAAAATCCCCCTGGAGGATGGAGGTTAACAAAGTTTACACAGACCTGACAATAGCAAGGCGCGGGATGGTGAACATCAGGGCGGGGTCATAGTCGTCAATCATCTCCTGCGTCAGCAGCTCTGCTTCCAGTGCCCTGCAGATCAAAGATCAACACTTTTAATTAGCTTACTTTTGTCACAGTTTTCTTGTGTTTAGTACAAAGTATATACCTTTCCTTATGTGTGGATAGTGTTCAGCACCAAGGACAGAACAGACCTTTCTTCAGTATGTGTGTGTGTGTGGTGTGTGTGTGTGGATAGTGTTCAGCACCAAGGACAGGTCAGACTGTTCTTGAGTGTGTTTGTGGATAGTGTTCAGCACCAATGACAGGTCAAACTGTTCTTGAGTGTGAGTGTGAGTGTGTGTGTTTGTGGATAGTGTTCAGCACCAAGGACAAGCCAGACTGTACTTGAGTGTGTGTGGATAGTGTTCAGCACCAAGGACAGGTCAAACTGTTCTTGAGTGTGTGTGTGTGTGCGTGGATAGCAAATACAGCACATTTACCCAGTATATGTGCTATAGTATGAGTGAAATGTAATGAAGTTTGTTTCTGAACACGGAGCAAAATGTAATTAAGTAATAAAAACGCACTCCAAGGAAAGCGCAGCTTCTGAGTCAAGAAAACAAGGGAAGAACAGTCCCAACATTTACTTTATAAGAACAGGCAGAACAGGACTATATCATGATCTCTTGTAACTCTAGTTTTCTCTCAACAGTGTGACTGCTACTTTTAAATTAGATATCTTGAAAAGTTGGAAGCTCGCACCACAATTTATCAATTTGATTGGTCATGCTCTGACATTGCTTTTATTGCTGTTCAAGCAGCTTGCTACATAGAGTGCTCCAGTGCTGAGTGTCGTGCCATAAATTCCCTCAGTGCACCATCAGAAGTAATCTGAACAGAGCAATTCTGGCACTGCTGTGACATTACCAGCTGCACTGACAGAATTGACATCAGTATTGGTTAGGACAGACGAGCATGTTAACTGTTAGGGTTGTGGGGGCAGCACTCAACATACATGTAGGTGTAAGCAATCAGGTAGGTTTTAAGCACATGTCTCCAGATTTGGATGCTGCAGTGAGCAAGAAGAACTGTTAAATGCATTTACTTTTGCGGGGTTTACAGGTGAACATACCTAGTATTATTGACATACATTTCTGTCATTATTTGTATACAAAAGCTAGCCAGGAAAAAGACAAAGTAGAACCAAGTAAGGAAAGACGGCTGTGGGACATTCTGACACCAGTTACTGCAGAACACAGTCAACTTACAAATACCTGTATGAGAATATGAAATATCCAATGTACAGTGTACTATACTTTATATATCTATCATACATGTATGATGAACCAGTCACAGTCCAAGTCAAATGGTGATTACCATGCCCAGTTCTAATCTGTCTGGATACTGGAAGGCTAAGTATCAAAGGCACCATTGGATCCTAAATATTCACCAGTACTACATGTAGTCTAGACCCTCAATCAGTAATCTCATTCTGTATGCCCTGAATCTGATTTGTCAACTGCCTTGACCTCATTATCAGTGGCAAACATTAAAGGTGAAGGTAAATTCCATACTTTGTTCTTGATTCTAAGGTTTCTAATATAATTTTCAATTGCATGCACTGCAAGGACCTGTATAATCATGAAGCTCAATATTCCATAGTGAGAATGATTGATTTTAGTTAGAGTTACAAAGTCTTTTATCGAAAAGTCTGGCAATATGAGAATTGACTTTGTGTTCATAATCTTTCAATATATATTAAAATATAGATATTCATAATTTTTTTCTCTTCTCTCTCTCTCTGTGTGTGTGTGTGTGTGTGTGGATACTGTTCAGCACCAAGGACAGGTCTGACTGTTCTTAACTGGACAAGGAAAAAAGTTTGGGATTGTCTGTCTACAAGTTTTTGATACAGGAAAAAACTTTAACTTGGCATCACAACTATAAGTGAGGAAACTCTTTGAGACCATGCCAGGGTAGCCTTAACAGGCACTCTGCGCTTGAAAATTTGCCAACACATGCCAAAGTCAAAAGGTCAGGCAAAACAGCTTTTCTGCATTATCGTTGTGCAAATAGAGACTTTTTTATCTCTGTGATCATTTCCAATCTAACAAATAGCTATGGACTGCCCGGGGGAAGTCATGACTTCGCCAAGCTGAAAATTGTTCAAAATTTGCCTATTGATCCAGGGAAAATCAATGGAAAGCATTTACAATAGAACAGAAAAGCATATTGCACAGTTAGCTTAGGAATTGAAAGTCAATACATGCAGGATTGGAAATAATGGCCACGCTCAGAAGTGGTTTGCACTCTGAAAAGATTCTGCCAAAAACAGTAATGCAGAAACAGTTGACCTTTTCCCATTGTATGCGCCTTTTAGTGCAAGGATTAGTCAAAACTGAATACTGAGTTTTGCATTCAAATGGGAATAACGATGGTCTTTATTTGCTTTAATTCATCAGTATTGATTTTAAACTACATTTTGTTTTGTCCATTTAACCTTCTCTCTTCTTCTTGACCCTGTAACCAAAAGATAATTGGTTGCCTAATGACTACATCAGTGTTCAAGAGAACAAAACAGCTTGTATTTACCATTGTCAGAAAGTTTAAAATAACTTAGAAACCAGACCCATCTAATTAAGGTATTATCACTATAGAGGGAGACAATCACATTAAATTACAACATAAAAACAATCACTAAATTGAACTGCATATGGTAGGACTTATTACATTCCCAAGATACATGTTATTATGCAGTTTTTTGTATTTTTTCTTAATTGGCACATTTTCTTTATTTGATAGGGATAGAGACAATTTAGAAATTTGCTCTGATGAGCAATGTGCAAATGAATATGAATACAAATACATTGTAAATCTTTGAAGAAAAAACACAGCTTCCTTTAACACTTCTTAACAGAGATACCTTAACACTCCTTAGCAGCGCATGGTTAACAGTATTGGGCAAAACTAATTACTCTGTCTTACTTACTGTGCTTTACCACATGCCACAATTGGTCTTATTGAATTACCTGCTAGCAGTGCCAAACAGGAGATCACCACGTATGGACATTTCATTATCACTGATAAAGAGGAAAACAGTTCTCCTTCAATTTACATGAAAGCCTGATGATATCAAAGTTGACCACACACCAATTTCAAAAAAATCGTTTAAGTCTTATTACCTAGCAGTACTTCTCAAAATGTAGTAAATAACAGTTCTTATATGATATTCTTATCTTCAATAGAAATAAAGTCTCTTACTATCAGCATCAAAGAACACCAAAATTGTCTAGTTTTTCAGTTCTTGTATTAAGATGATTACTCTGTTTGAAAAAAAATTGCTTATAACAATTGAGTCTCAGTGTGTGAGACTTTTCATTTTCCTTTGAATGTGAGCTGACACCTACTCCAATAGCACACACATCTGCCCTGCACGATGGTCAGATTTGGGCCCAAAAGTCCCACTCCGCTACTATGGAGATCGAATCCCCCGAACCCGCGAATCTTGTTCGATATGACGTCATTCGAATAGAGCGGGCGTTCGATCTGGGGTTACCCGCGGTCATTTACAGTAAAGCCGCTACAACCGGCTACTTCAAGCCCTTTTTTACTTGGGAACCACGGAACAGGAAAAATCCACCTTTCCACAAATATGAACCGTTTTCAAAACATTACATCTATGCCGTGATTTTATTGTGGATATGTAACATGTAACGAAGCTACTGCCGTCATCGTGGGTGACCTTGAAGGTCAGAATTCTTGTTGACGCTGTTATAAAATCCAGGTCCCCATATCCAAGTGGCACAGCATGCGTGCAAACATGGTATTTTAACCATTCCCAAAAATCGCTCAAATTACCTCATTGAGGGCTTGTTTGGAAGAGGAACGATTTCCGCAGATTTCTGTCTTAGGGATTTTTTAAATATGGCCGCGATTATGAATTATCGGTATTTAAAGTTAAAACACTGCGTTTTTAGCTCTTCTTTTGACTGTAAGTCGAGTTTTAGTTAAAAAATTAAAAAAACCTAAGACAGAAAGTTTAAATTTACTGTAATATTTCTAAAAATCCAAAAATCTAACCTTATTTTTAATTTTCGGGGCCTCTTAAAATCAGTTGTTTGGTTCTCGTGAACCCTTTTTGAAATCCGAAATTGATCTCATTTGGAAGAAAATGTACACAAAGTGGAGCAAAGGCAGTGCAAGAATAACATTTGAGGTAAACAAAATCACTTATTACATTTAATTTTGATGAGTATTTACTCTCCAATTACTTTTGTTTATTTTCAAATTTTACCCGTTACCCCGGGCGGCCCGGGACTCCCGCGCGGCCACGTTCGAACACGTTCTGTAACCCGATACCTCCCTAGTAAT